GGAGGAGGGTTTGGGGATTGGGGGGAGGTTTGGGGATCGGGGGGAGGTTTGGGGAGGAGGTGGATTGGGCCGTTAATGATTTTCACTGCTTTGTATCTGTAATTCCCGAAATAATAGTTTACCCGCCAAATTTTCACGAGGCAGATCACAACACTCCTAAAATTTGACTTTCCTAGACTCCGAGGTTTTCGCGGGGCCGTTCATGTTCCCCGCGGGCGGGAGAAAGCTGAATTTAAATTTTCTGGTGCAGGGTACATCCCACAAAATTTCAGCCTTCTAGCTTACGTGGTTCTCATGATAATAATTTTACCCGTCAAAACTTTTATGGGGCCGTATGTGTTGCTCGCGGATGTGGAAAGGCTGAATTTAAATTTGCCGCGTCATACGTTGGCGGGGAACACTATACTAAAATTTCAGCCGCCTAGCTTTTGTGGTTCCCGAGTTGAAATTGAGGGACAAAATATGGGACACACACACATACAGACAATCCCGTGACAACATGCTTTCTGCACTGTTGTTATACAGCACAAAACGCGTAAAAATAAAATTTTTTTTGAACGACTCATTAAAAACGATTTTTTGTTTGTTTTTTTTTGGATCAAAGGGGAGGCAAACTGGCGATATGAAATATATTTTGTATCTACATAATTAAGCCAATATTTAGTCAATTACAATTACGACTATCAAATCAAAGGAATTTAATTGATGATAACAAACAGCAGGGGAACTTGCCTTCTCCTGGATCCACAAATTTATCATCATACGCTTCAATATCATTTCTCATTTGAGTAATATCTTCCACTGCAAACAAACCATAGGCAAATTCCGATGAACCAAAATCATCATACTTTTTTGCGGTAAATTACTGTGCAAAGCATATTCAGTTGGAAGCACTGATAGTGTTTGCTTTTGGTAATCTCTTAAACTATTTTTTACAGCAAAGTTTACACTGTAAAAAAATTTCGGGTTCATTGTTTGCTCTCAGAGTTATAGCATTTTATTATGATGTGTAATCGCAGATTCCTTGCACGGTGCCACTTGTGTTTTTAACTCATTGATTCGGAGCATGCGACTAAACGAAACTCGCAGGTTTTGATTTTTGGTTCTACTCATCCGAAAATGCAAAATGAATCCCCAAATTTAAACTGTTGTCTGAAATCTGGATTTTAGCATACAGCGCGCTCTGGAATTTCGCAAACCATTTCCGGAAACCCTACCCTTTTCTTAACCTAAAAATTTTAAAAAAATTGTAACTCAAAGTCTTCTCGCGATCATCTACTGTTCTTTCATATCAGTGTCAAAATTCAGCAAATGGTTAAATTTACAAGTGTCCACCCATAACGATTATGTTTTCAACTGACCAGGTTGTCGATTAATTTCGTTCATTGACACTTCATCAAAAACTGCTCTCTGGAAACCATCGCGTGGCGGTCCCAGTGCTGAAAACATAAATCTTGAGACGACGATTTAAATATGACAATGTTTTTGACGAAATTGCAGATTTAATTCTTAATCTTAGCGTTTCTGTTCATCGTTACTTGTGTTGCCCTGGTCCAGCACCCCGGTTTTATTCAGGCCATTATAGTTATATGCTTGTTTGCACAAATGCAAATGCTTTTTTTTGCATATTTGTTCAAATGTAAAAACGCATATTTACACGAGTTAGATTATTAGAAGTATTTAAAAACAGTAATAAATTAAAAATTTTTTAACATAACTGCCAGGGTTCGAAACCGCTAGCGGAACAAAAAAATCGCTGCACGATACGTTCATTCGTTTCGATGGTAAATTGCTACTGACATTTTCCAGGGAGTCAAACCCGCCATCAGCTTGCTTATGGCAATCTCTCAAAGAGGTAGTCATCGACACTATTGCCAGCGAATGTTTGCTGTAGTAGCATTTAGTACCATTCAGGCTGCCTTCTGAGTTCACTTTTCTTGGAGAGGGAATATGCAGTTTGTTTAACCGTAACTTCATTACTGGTGCGCATGGTGCATTGTGTTGCTCACATGCTTAAATTCCAGTGTTCGGCACTGTCAGTAGGACAAC